CTCCTCCGAAAACTCTCTCCTTTCTCTTACTCTCTCCCCAAACCCTACATTTCTCCCCCCTCACAAACCACTCCTCTCTCCTCTCTCCTCCGCCATTACCACCATCACCGCACCACCACCACAACCTCAACCTCCCTCTCTCTCTCTCTACCCCAAGTTTCTCTATCTAGAAACTTCTCCTCCTCGCAGACGCCGGACCAGATCGCCCACTCTCTCTCATTGGAGCTCCTCAAGGACCCCGACTCCGAGCCTCTCCCGATCGCCGAGCGCCTCAAGCTCTGCTTCTCTCACGTCTCTCCCACCCCAGCCCTAGTCCTCGACGGTCTCAATCTCTCCCCGGACGCCGGCCGTACGGTCCTAGGATTCAACGACTGGCTCGTCTCCAGCCCTAATTTCGCTCACTCCGATGAAACGATCTCTTTCTTCGTCGACTACCTTGGCCGGAGGAAGGATTTCAAGGCGGTCCACGACGTGATTGCGGCGAATTCCGGAGTGTCGGGGCCGAAAACACTAGCCGCCGCCGTCGACCGTCTTGTTCGTGCCGGTCGGCCGACGCAGACGGTGGCGTTCTTTGAGAGGATGGAGAGGGACTACGGGCTGAAGCGGGACAGGGAATCGCTCACTGTCGTCGTCGAGAAGCTCTGCGAGAACGGCTTCGCGAGCTACGCGGAGAAGATGGTGAAGAGCTTGGCGAACGAGATTTTTCCCGGCGAGAGAATTTGTGATTTGCTGATCATAGGATGGTGCGTCGATGGGAAGCTTGATGAAGCGAATCGATTGGCCGGAGAGATGTACAGAGGAGGATTCGAGCTCGGAACAATGGCGTTCAACGCGATTCTCGATTGCGTATGTAAGCTCTGCCGGAAAAAGGATCCTTTTCGGCTACAATCGGAGGCCGAGAATGTGTTGGTGGACATGGATACTTATGGAGTTCCGAGAAATGTGGAGACTTTCAATGTGTTGATCAACAATTTGTGTAAGATTAGGAAGACTGAGGAAGCCTTGAAGGTGTTTGAGAGAATGGGAGAGTGGGGATGTTATCCGAATGAGGAAACGTTTCTTGTTTTGATCAGGAGTTTGTACCAGGCGGCGAGGGTTGGAGAAGGCGATGAAATGATTGATAGGATGAAATCCGCGGGTTATGGCGATAAGCTTGATAAGAAGGCTTATTATGGCTTCTTGAAGATCTTGTGCGGGATCGAGAGGATCGATCACGCGCTGAGCGTTTTCCAGAAGATGAAGAAAGACGGGTGTGAGCCGGGGGTCAAGACTTACGAGCTTTTGATGGAAAAGTTGTGTGCTCATAACCGAGTTGATAAGGCCAATGCCCTTTTCAATGGGGCTAAGAAACGAGGCGTTCCGGTGACGCAAAAGGAGTATCCCGTGGACCCTAGGTACTTGAAGAAGAAAGTTAAGGCTGTGAAGAAGGAGAAGAAGAGGGAGACGCTGCCGGAGAAGATGGCCAGGAAGAGGAGGCGCCTCAAGCAGATTCGATTGAGTTTCGTGAAGAAACCGAAGAAAATGACGCGCCGAGCATATTGATCCGAGTGAAAGGGTATGATTGGGTTATTTATTGAAGTTTTGACTTCAATTGAATTTTGATCAACTTGTTTTTTGATGATATGTAACCTTTATGTGTTTCTTCTTGTTTTCTAGTATTGGTTATTAGTAATTAGAAGTAAAATTACTTCACCAAGTCCAACAGAGAAACCAAAGAAAATAAAGTGATCTTTTTGTTTAGGATTTTGACACTCAGCTGGTACAT